TTATATTTAAAAATAATCAAAATTGAATTAAATGTTATAAATAATAGAATTAATAGAAATTGAACTAATTGGATTAATTTGGTTTAGTTTTCGAAAATAGAATTTGAATTTTTTTTATTTATATATATTTATTTATGTTGTATTTTTTTAATAAATTAATATAATAAAAATATTAAAAAATAATATAAAAGTATAATAAATAAGATGAATATTCATATAAACAACAACAAATAATTAAAAATATAAACAAAAAGAACAATAAATAGTTTTGAGCAAATAATTTAAGTTCGGTCAATTCGGTTAGGAAAATACCTAACCGAAACCGAATTGAATTAATTTTAATAATTGAACTATTTAAAAAATTAAATTTACTTTGATTCAGTTTAATTATTTAATTTGGTTTGTATTTACGCACCCCTAGCAGGGGCTAAAACCCCAACTTAGGGAAGTGAAGACCCTAAGGGGTGCTGAATCGTTTATAGGAAGATTGAAAAGTTTAAGATCACTTTTCATAATCTAATTGAAATAAGAGAATTTAAACTTGAAATCTCCTTTTTACATGGATTGATAAGTTTATTATCTTGAAGAAACACTACTTGATTTCGAGGGAAAACAAAGATACGAAAATGAGATTCCATTTTTCTACCTTTGTACACGTTTGGTCACCTTAATGGACAGGATTTAGATTTACGAATACCTTTATATTTCAGTGTCTTGTCTTAGTACGAAGATGTACAAAGAGTCAAGGTATTATTTTCCACTTGATTTTGATATGCTAACCACCTAGCATTGTTGTCCTACAACTGGGTGTTTGAAATTTTGGGATTTTCGATTGCTGTTTTTACTGGTGTTTGTTTGTTGGGGAGATTACACTACAACTTAAAGTCGCGCAGATTGAACCACTGCAGCAATGATTCCTTTCCTTGTTTTCTATGTCATCTTTTTTACTGCTTGTTTTCTCCAATCCCTTCTGCCATACCTATTTTCTCAACAATATCTGGAAAAGCTTTTGCTGCCACTGAGTTTGCTTCATCATATCGTCTCTTATTTCTTTCGTCACCAATGTTATAGATACTGTAATCATTCCACCCCTGCATGAAAAAGAATAGCAGGGAAATGGCATTCATTTAACAGGACCTCACCATGTTTATGGGTCTGGTTTAGTGCCCAGCTTGTTAACATGGAAAGCCTTAATTAGGAATATAATCAACTTTGGGGGCCTTTGCAAAATGATAAAGAGTCCAAAAAAAAAAAACATAGTAGTCCGGACAGAATGCCAAAAAAACACATAATTATTTTGTCTCTATAAACTTGTACTACTTAAAATATGTTATCATTAATTTTTGCCTTCTCCCATTGGATTCCGGACTATTTAGCACAGCCCTAATTCCTATTATCACCTACCCAGTACAAATAGCAGTAGATGTAGATCGGAAATTGGCTGGGGTATTCCTAGATTCCAAACAAGTAACCACAAAATTAAAGAGCCTCTTCTTTAGGTCACCCCACCCCACACAAGGCGCCTTGCATTTCAACCAAGTCCACCCATCTTTACTTGCCCCAGAACAATCACCTTCCTTCAGTAGATTTTAGAATTGAAAAATCGCATATGAACTTTACACCATACAACGGGAACATAGGATTAAGGTTCGTTGTAACCAATTTTTTCCAATAAAAATTTTAAAATTTATGATTTAGAGTTTAAGGTTTAGATTTTAAGATTTTAAAATTATATATTTTTATTAATAATATAAAATTAGATACATGATATAAAATTATAAAAAGAAACATCAAGCACGACATTAAATGAAGGCATAAGATTTTTATTCTCTCTCTTTTTTTTAATAATTTTACATCAGATAGAAATTCTCTACCCTTTTTTGGTACCCCTCTTAATACCTTTTTTTTTTATAATTTTACACCAATTTTAATGGTATTTATTCAATTATAATTTTAAAAATTAACAATAAAAATTTACTTATTTATACTCTGAAATTTATATTTTAGAAGATTTTTATAAAAAAGTTTAAAAATTATAATTTTAAAAAGTTATCAGTAAAATTTTCTGGACATGAAAAGATGTCAAATTTATTTATCTTTCAAGCTTATTTTTTTAATATAATTCTCAAATCCAAATAGATTTTCTTTTAGTACTAAATACAATAAAGATAGAAAGAAGTTAAAGACAAAATAGAGAAAGGGCTAAAGAGTGAAGAGACTCAAAAAAAATTTTTGCCTAGAAAATATCATATCTCTATCTCTACCGCTAGGCATAAACCAGAAAGTGGCATGCTAAGGATCATCTGCCATCTATCTACTCAGCAGCATCCCAGCAGCAGTAGAGTCCAGAGTGTGAACATCCCCCTTTCGGTCTCCCTACTGTTACCCGAACCCACAAAAGTAAATAAAAGACCCAACGTTTTTTCGTTCAATTATTTTACTTTTCTTTAACGTTTCTTTCACTCTCACTCTCACTCTCACTCTCCATTCTTTGCTTTGGTTTTTTGGTTTGCTTTTATTTTTCCTTGTTCTTTCTGTAGTCTCCTACTGCTACTTTAGCTCTACCTTCTCTGTCTCTCTCTCTCTCTTCCAGCTTTCTCTCTCTCTCTCTCTTTTTAACCTTTGTTTCTGGCGGATAAACCGGGGTCTTTTCGGATCCAGGAAAACCCAACTTCTGGTAAAATCTTTTTATTCTTCTTCTTTCTTTCTTTCTTGCTATCTGTAAAGTGTAGTCTAGTACTACAGATGTTCATTCTTTTTTGTTTTGTCAGTTTTACTTTTTCTTGTAAAAGAACATATTCTGTGTACAGTTTTGCTGCATTGACTTATTTAGTGATGTTGATTTGGATAAAATGATGTCAGTGTTCTTGGTTTTAACTCTCTGATCTATATTTCTGAGTATTAGGCTTCTTGTTTGTTCGGTAAGCTCTGCTTGTTTGGATAATTTGTTTTTGTTTTGGTGCAGAATTGGTTTCTTCTAGCTATTTCTTGATCTGGGTTTGCTTTATTTTCATAGTTATTCGATCAATGTGCTGGGAATAGAAATTTTACAAGGTGTGTGGATTTGGGTTTCTAGATACTTGAAAAGACTATATCTTTCGGTCTCCAGGTAGAGTATTTATTCTGGGGTCTTCATTTTCAATCATCTTTCTCCTTGAGGCTTGCCTCTTTTACCTGGAACGCAGATTTTATTGATTGTTGAAGGCCTGTTCTTATTGTTCAACATTACTATTTGGATTTTGCATTTGCTAGTAGTTTATACCTCATTTTTATTGGCTTCTGATGAACTACATATATCTTTATTTTCTTTCTACGAAAAGATTAGGATTGATTCTCAATTAGCTTCTGTCCTCTTTTTTATTTTAGAACTCATATAATTTCAGTTATTGTTTATAGAACCATTCTCATTTCTTACTGCTTGCAGCTCCATAGCTGGTTATGCTTTAGCAGGAAGGGAAGCAGGATTAGATGGAAGAGGATGGTGAAATAAGGCACTGGGATGAATTGATTCCAGATGCACTTGGGTTGATTTTCAAGAATCTTTCACTCCAGGAGATACTTACAGTTATCCCAAGGGTCTGCAAATCATGGCGGAGAGCAGTTACAGGACCTTATTGCTGGCAGGACATTGACATCGAGCAATGGAGCCAACACTGTCGGCCTGAGACCCTTGATCGCATGCTTCAAATGCTGATAAATAGAAGCTCAGGTTCACTCCGCAAGCTCTGTGTTACCGGTCTTCCTAATGACCAGAGCTTTTCATTTATTGCAGATAAGTAAGGACATAAAATGTTGCCATCAATGTCTCTTAAATGCATTTTCTGTTTATATCCCTTTGGCTAAACTAATTTTGATTCCTCACTTTCAGTTTAACATGGTAAATGAAAAAAGGCTGGCGTTGGGTATATACTGGTGTTGAAATGTTAGCTTAGGCAACTAATATTACTCAACAGCAAATTATGTAGTACATAGTTTAATAAGAATGAAGCTTCGTGTAATTTTCATTTTCCCATGATGTTGCTGAAGTTCTGTATTTTGAATATCTTATTGATGGGGAAGGGAACAATAACCAACTTAATGGTAAAAGAATCTGAAGGGGATTCTAAGATCAGTGGGGACATTCTGTTTTATTTTATGACTTCATTGTGGATATGGTAAATTGGATTATTGCATTTGTTATTTACTCTTATTTTCCCCTGCTTCTAGTGCCAAATCTCTTCAGACTTTACGGCTGCCAAGAAGTGAAATAAGTGATGCAGTAGTGGAACAGGTTGCTGGCAAGCTCTTTTCAGTAACTTTCTTGGATGTTAGCTACTGCAGGAACATTGGGGCTACAGCCCTTGAAGCAATTGGCAAGCACTGTAAGTCACTAATGGGGTTGAGGAGAACAATGCACCCATTAGAGGTAATTGACAAGCTGTCTCAAGATGATGAGGCCCTTGCCATTGCTACCACAATGCCAAAGCTCAAGCAACTTGAGATGGCATACCTGCTTATTAGCACAGAAGGTGTGCTCAAGATACTTGAAAACTGCCCTAAGCTTGAATTATTAGATGTGCGAGGATGTTGGAATGTGAAGCTAGATGATAATTTTGTCAAGAAATTCTCACGGCTGAAGGTGGTTGGACCTCTTGTTGTGGATTATTTTGGGATGAAGGGCTGGGATGATTGTTCAAACTATTCAGGTTCCTCTGGTTACTTGGCCTGGGACTTTATTGCAGGCGATGTTGGTGTTGATTACGATGAGATATCAGATGGGGATTGGGAAGATGACCAAAGTATGGAAGATGTGGAAATGAGGTTCTATGACGGTTTTGATTTGGATAATGCTGCGTTTGATTGGCCCCTCTCCCCATGAGGGTCTGTTGGTAGCTTTTCATAATTTGGTTGACAAGCTCCGTCAACTATCTCCACCACTCTCAGGCCTGCTGTGGTGGTTACTTCTTTGCGGCCACTTTGCTATGTACAAACATTTGTGTTTCTGAAGTAGTATATAGGACGAGTTTTTCTGTGAGTGTTTGTAATAAAAACTTGTAATTTTGTAACAAA